CGAAAGTAACGTCACTGTTATTGAAGAGGAGCTTAGATCCAGTCGGCCATGTTGCAAAAACAATCGGATTATAAAGATTAGAGAACTGCCTATCCAGACATTACCTGACTGTAATAAGTGTTTATTTGTACAGTATTATTATGACTCAGCAATTAACAACGAAAAAAGAATTAATCTCTAAGTACCTTTAATTGTTGATACAGACCCTCCTTCGTATATATACCGAGTCAACACTTGTGGAACGGAAGAAAGAAAATAATTTATGTTTTCAGGTAGTTCTAAAAAAGGCTTAATGCTTGGAAGTACCACCAATTTACAATATCATGAATTAGAAATCAGTCTTAATAATTTTTAGTCTTTTAAAGGAAAATATTTCACTGCATTAACATTAACAGATTGTTAATGCCACTTTTGAAATACATTTATGATGGATACGATATAATAGCAATATTTAATCTATAATTAAAGTTTAGTAATAAACACTCAAATCATCATGTTTAGTATACTTACATGGTTTTTATTTAAATTTTTAACAAGTGAAAGTACACAAGCTGAAATGCTTGCACTGTGATTGGTTGGATTATTGTATAAGCTATAGTAGTCATGTGACCATAGCTAATTCTTATTGGATAAGAATGGATAATGAATTTTAAATATCAAGTCGAATTCTTGCTATTTTAATATTGAAAAAAAGATTACTGAAACATTAGAAAAAACAAATAATAAACAGAATAATACATGAATGATTTGCGACAAACAGTTGATTTGAATTTGTTAATAAATATATAATGTAATGTAATGTAATGAGAATGGTCATTACCAATAATAATGTGCTTATTTACCAAATTTAATGATTATTTGCTATTACTAGCGTCATTAATTTAAGACGAAATACTGCAAACTACAAATTACCTGTTTTTTTTCTTCTTACAAATACATTCAAGATAAGGAAAATAAATAAAATCAATAATTAAGAATACTACAGAATGAAATTGAAAAGTCCTTCAACAAGTTACATCTCCACTGATCCAGTAGTTTTAGAGACATTGAAAAAAGCACAAGAATTACAATTGGAAATGAATTCAAAAAAACATACTAGTCATTCGAATAAATTAACCTTTTCAACAAACAAACACTCTAGTAGTATACCACCACCAACAAGAAAGTATTCTTTGTCAATACCATCAAAGTTGAGCGATACAACAGGTCAAAATATTTCAAAAAATTTGGATACATCACAAAATTACCAACAAGTAGGTGGTTTTATATTTTCGTTTTTTTTATCTCTTTTATATCCTAATTTCACATTCTGCCTAGCAAATTATCATTTTTACTCATTGTCGTTTTGGAATGTTAATTTTTCAAGGTAGATTTTATGAAAAATGTTTGTTGTTTACAGCTCTACACGTTGATATTGTGTTTGTTACAGTCACTGGTGTTCTAGATCTTCAAACTCCAGGTTGTTCCTATGCTACATGAATGTGCATTGTCCAATTCTATGAGTACTATTCTCATGTTTGAATTATTGATAAATATAAAGTTGGATTTTTTACTGTCGAGTTAGTCACTGAACCATAATCTATGTCAAGTTTCAGTCCTTTTGCAAACAATTGGACACACACGAATACACTCAAGAATCATTTATGATTTCAACTCATTCTTAGTATTGTTAAGTAATCTGATTTACGACGTATAGTCAACTGACTTATCAAAATATCTTTTTTCATCCATTATACAGAATTTGCTTGATACAAATGCGTGACAGAGAATTCTCCCTACAAAACAAAATTATGATTAGATGAAGGAATAATCGATAGGAAATACGAAAAAAAATGGTAATAAGCAATATTAATGGATACAGTTGTAATATGAATGAAATCATCAAAAATTGCCGTCATTTTCAGCTCCTAAATTTTATTTATTGAAAGCCACAAAAGCAAAAGACAATAGGTTTGTCATTGATTTGTATTATAAGGAATGACTAGGACAGTTTTATACACTACAGTTACATGACCTATAAGATTTAATCCATAAAATAGCGTGCAAACAGATATTAACCCAATAAGTTAACCTTCAGTTTTTCATTAATACATCATAAACTAACTGTCTTCCCACTAGTTACCGAAACTCAGTATCACGTACTCAGCATTACCACTGATTACAATTCATCCCTCGAATATTGATTAATTTTGGCTCATTAACGAAGTGTAGATTTATGTACTCAGGTTTCATCTGCTTTTTGTGAACACGATACTAAGTGGTTATTTGGAACGAATTATGTTCATCTGAGTTTGAAGTTATGGATCGTTCTGAGCTTTGAGAAACCAGCTCTCTTAAACATTGGGAGAAACCAGTCACACATAAAAGTTGTTCATCCAATTCTTATGATCAAAATTAAATTACGCAAGACCGAAGGTGGTTTAGATTCGTATGAGTCATTCTGGCTGTCACCATACTTAGAATGGTCTCGTATTTCACACCGCAATCAGCACCCACACAAATGACAACGTACTCAAACTTTTCGACCAGATTGATTTCATTTTCTCCCACGTTTTCAGTTAGTTCTCTATTTCTGGAGAGTACCTGGGTGATTTATCCGGACAGAACATTTTGTAAAATCTTATGGTTTGAAACTCCCTTTAGGCTTTCATTACGTTAGATCGATTCGTGTTCGCCAACCATGAATTACAGGGCGATACAATTGAAGTTTCTGGATCAATAAACCAACTGAAACGTTTTCGAAGTGCTCAAGTTGTTTTGATGATCGCCAGTTAATATCTTATGAACTTCATAGATTGGTTATCCGATAATAGGTTTACTACTGGTAACGGATCAGATGAGGTTAAACGGCTTCTGATGTTTATTATATGAAGCTTCTATTCTTATCTCATCAGGTAATTCTAACGATTAACCTTTAGACCCCTGAGACGGCATCCAACCAATCAAACTGATTCGCAGTTGTTTTTGCTATCCATTGGACTGATTAATTTATCCATATCCCTTGGTTAGGCATTAAGTATATCACTGGTTGTAGTATTGACTAGGTGTTTGCAAACTATGGTAAACTTTAATAAGATTATTTCTTCACAACTAGGAAATCATTCATCCATGAAAACAATATTCATATGAATCGTACAATATGAATAATTTAATAATTGTTCAACCAATACAATGTGAGCGAGAATGTGTGAAATAGTTGGTTGCATGACTGGTAATGACAAATGATCAGAAGGAAATGTAAATGGATGGATGTTAATACTATTCGGTTGTTGAATTATTTACTTATTCATTTAGTGTCAATATACCGTGAAATGGGTTGTGATCTTATCACAATCTATGTACTATTGAAGCCATGTGATTCTAAGGTCATCCAGCTGATAAATACCATGTAAATTCCTTTAGTTATGAACTCTGTCGATGTTCTAATTTATCATTCTTATCTGATTTACTTCGTGAATGATATTAAAGGATGATTAAAATTGAATGTAAACAATGAGGAATAAGATCCAGATTGTAAGTTCGTTTATCTAATAATTAATTATTATGTGCTTCCCCTGAGCTGTCAAGGTCTTCATAATCCAGTCAACCATCAGAAGAAAGAGAAAGGGGGGAGAGTAAGTAGTATTGTATGATCCTGGACCTTACTTGGAATGCGTCTGTCAGCTGTCCTCCATTCACGAATTTGCAGTGTAATCCATCGTACGAATTCTGTATGATATTGACGACTTTCACAGGTGCACCATAGTGTCGAAGAAGGTTCCACATGATTGTCCTATCCACGCTGTGATTTATAGTGACAAGTTCCACTCAATCGATTGTTCGACGATGATCCGTAGTGTCGCGATTTGGTCTGAGCACGACCGATCCTTATGGAATCCAGCTTGTTGATCTAGAAGTTGGGAGTCCACTGAATCTTTCATCCGGTTCAGCAACACACTTTTGAAAACTTTTCTTCTTATCAATAGTAGTTATACATTTACTCAGATCTCCTTTCTCTGGTACCTTGATGAGGTATGCTTTTTTCTAGTCTGTCTTCTTCCTCCCAAATCTTCCTGAATAGGACGTGGAGCGCATTTACAATTACTTTTGTGTCTGACTCTAGCGCTCCAGGCGGTATGTTGTCAGGTCATACTGCTTTCCGACTCTTCATTTGTCTGATGATCAAGGTGGATTCTTCGACCGGTGGTGGAGTGACAACTATAGGAAGGTTTGTGTGTGCTGCTTAGACAGGCGGTGGGTTCAGTGAAGCTGGTCTACTCAAGAGTTCTTCATAGCATTCTGCCTAACTGTTTCAATGTTTTTGAATATCAGTGGTTGTCTTGCCTTTGTCCTTGACCAATCTCTCTCGTTTACTATATTTCTCTGCTAGTTTCCTCGTTGTATGCTATAGATGTCTCATATTACCTTCTGTTGTAGCTTTTGCGCTGTCGCTGACAGGTATTCCTCACATTTTCTCTTGTCAGCTCCATTACTCTTGTTCAATTGCTTGTTTGCTTCAGTGTATTCATCTTGTGCCTTGACTTTCTCTGCTCTTGTTCGACTGTTGTTGATTGCTGTCTTTCTGTTCTTCTTTTATTGAGTCTTGTCTAGGGTGTCGATAGAGATCCATTCCTTATGATGATGTTTGTTGCGGCCCAGCACCTTCTGACACGTCGAAGTTAATGCTTCCTTGATCCCTTTTCAGTTGTCCTCCATCGAAGTTTCTTCTTTAATCGGATCGTGTAAGGGTTGGAAGCTGTTGTTGAGAGTTATTTTGGATTCGTTGTTTGTTAGTATTTCGTAGGGAGGCTGTAAACAATCTGTTCAATGCACATGAGTTTGCAAATCTCTCCCCATTCTCGTTTCTCTCTCCCAGTCCATGTCGTCTCATGGTATCTTCATACTCGGTGTTGTTCATTCCCACTTTTGCGTTTAGGTCTTCCATCAGGATGGTGAGGTCGTTTCTTGGACATTTTGCTATGATTGATTGCATGTTCTCATGGGATCGATCTTTATTGTCGTCGTTGCTATCATTGGTGGGTGCGTAACATTGGATAGCATTTATTGTGATCCCCTCCTTCTTTGTTTGTAATGATGCTTTGATTATTGTGGATGCATGATATTCCCATGCTATAAGTGCATTTCGTGCTTGCTTGGACAGCACCATAACAACTTCGGAGTACAGTAGCATCACTCTCGTATCTATCCTTTGCTGTTCATCTTGAGTCGAATGTGTTTAACTGATTCCGAGAACCGCCAGGTTATAACTCTTTATTTCCGTTGCTATTTGGCTGGTCTTTTTTATTTCCCACATTGTCCGATAATTCTATATACTTATATTAATTGTTGCTCTATTTGTTAGAATGGGTAACGGCCTCGTGACTTCCGAAGTATCTCGGCTTCACCATGAGGTGTCATAATTCTTCTGATTGAAGATCTTTCAACTTCCAATGCAGAGTTTTGATGGATTAAATTGTTTGTTATGGTTAGCGTTTTTTGCAGCAAGGTTATTTTCTACGAGATATGTTCGCTAACCACATATACAACTCTCCTCCTTTGGGTGGGTTTGGGAACGACAGTAACTCTAGAAGAGCAACAGGTGGAGTTGGGTCACAAACAAGTAGCTTGAAATTTGATATTGCCACACCGACTAAGAACTACATTTAAATCCATCTTCAATTGATATTCTAGCGTAGGAGTCAAGGTAATTTTTTAGATGTTTACTGACACAAGTCCTATTCATTAGCCAATGAGATGAACAATAAATGATTACAAGGTCAGGTCAACAAAATAGCCAATACAATAGTGGATAAAGGCATTAATATCAGATCCATCATCAACGACCAATCAATGTCCCAGGTTACTAGCTGAATCTATTAAGGAACATGTGGAAAAAATCTTAATAGGCCACACGCTTTTTTTAACGTTTATACTGGTAATTATCACTCCGGAAGGCAATGGAAGATTTATAGATCATTAATAGAACTTAGGAAATATAATATTCACCAAATGTAAGTATATACTTAGCGATAAAATTTAATCATACCCCTTACATTTTTATCAAGATGGATTTTTTAGACGTTTATTAAACTGCTTTCAATAAAAAGACAAAATAGCAACTCCATTGAACGTTTGATTCTAATACTCGATGTTTTATAATAATGTTAAATTTATTTTTCGTTTATTTTAATCACCTTCAAAGCTTGGCTTTATACAACAAGAAAATGTTTCGACATTTGACTAGTTTTAAAAAAAACTTTCTAGAAATATGAAAAAAAGTTGGTTGTTGAGGGACTATTGGTGAACTATTTTTAAATATTTAGAAATAATTTGAAAGTTTCTAACATTTTACTACAATTCCACTTTAATTAATATAAGATCTAAGATACATTTAAGAGTGACTTGTACTACCGCTAAATACTAATTTTAATGTAAGATATTATTAAATCTGGAATTTCTCATTGGTATCCTGTGTGGAGATCAACTTTTTTAAAATGTAATTCACTTACCATGTACGTAGCTGTTTACTGAGTCTTAAGTGATATTATCATCCATTGTGAAAAACATTGATACTATCCACTTTACCAAAGTGAAGTAATGGAGTGATGAGAAGTTAAAACTTGTGACTCATTGTCTTAAAGTCAATTGTTCTAAACAATGAGTCACTAATGAAGGTAAAAACTTAAAATTATATCATATCACTTGAACTATATCTAAAGTAGTTATCTTGGTTCCTAATAGTTGACATTGTTAATACTAGTCAACTCATAAACTAACCGAAATTATCCTTAGATTTTATCTATCTTAACTATCGTCTTAAAATACTAATTATGCCGGATAGAAAAGCCAAAATATTTCGATAAAACTTAAACAGTCTATCATCAAAGTGGGATGTAATGGTTTTCACATTCTTTTAGATTTTCATATTATTTATTCTATAATTAGATTATAATACAGAATATGTTTATTTACATCAAAATCATAGCATACTTGAGTATCTGTTCTTCCTTTAAGATAGTTTGAAGACAGTTTTCATCATAAAATGACATCGTCAATCGAAAAATGACTAAAAATAAGAATACACAATAGACCATGAATGTACGTGGCTGTAGAATACTAAAGTATGATAAAATAGCTTACATCATGAACTGACTTTAATAAGACAACTGATGAAAACCAGGAGGCACTAAACAACCATTTCATCTTAGTATGGGGCTCTTCACGAGCGCGTATTCACCAACCTACTAAGGATCGAACTCAGGGTCTTCGTTCGAGGTTGAGCAAAACGCTATTCCATTCCATTCATATTATCAGATAGATTGTTAATGTCTAGGTTGAGATTCAAACTCAGTACACATCACTTCAAATGCATATTTTATTGAGGTAGTGAGTCACAATAACCACATAACTTGTTCAATAGATGTGATAGTATTATTTGTAAGGGTCTGTAGTTTACCGATGATGATATTCAGGACTGTTCTTAAGCATTTTACAACGACAGAAATTGAGAAACTTGGTGATACTTTAAGTTTCCAAGTTTCGGGTATACATTTCCACTATTACGACATTGTGAATAGGTGTATTTCAAACAACAACGGTAATAACCAATAACTTTAAATACTTCCCCAAGCCTAATCGATGAGTTCAAATGTAAGGAAACAAAGGCTTTATACATAAAATTGATATATACTGACAAAATATTAAATCAATGTTTTTCTTTTCATTTAAAAACTTATCTTGAAGTAAAAAAATGTCTCCGAGTTAGTCAAAAGAAAATCAGATTTCCAAAAATCTGCTCCATTTCAACGCTAACGTTTTCCCCTCTAATTATTCCCAGGCTGAAGTTATACTCAACGCTTTCAATGTTTGCCAAGTGTAAAGTAGGCATCAATTTCAGACATTTTTCTGTCCGTTTTCTGGTTGAGTATCACAAATTAAGGTGTAGTTATCATTGAAGTTTTCGGGTGGGTTCAATGAGATGATGCGTTGATATACTGCGGGTAGTTATATCTTTTACTAAATGTTTGAGGAATGAGTGACAGTGGAGTTCTATATATAAGTTTTGTTGAATTTGGGACTCATTATTTGAATATATCTTCATCTCAGTACTTATTTTTTAAAATTCTGAGTCCTTATCCACTAAGGTGCTGAGTCACGATAACCAAACAACTTGTTCAACAGATATGATATTCATCACTGTTTAAAAGGTCTGATTGCTTCAAATTATTAACAGACATTACTATTAATTCCTTCTAATTCCTTACTTCATGTATGTCACCTTCAACCTTCTTACAATAGTATTGTTCAACAGTGTGGTTATCGGTTCTAATTCACTACACACAGCTTCGATAGATATCATTCATATTTACGTTACGTGCATGTACCTTTTAGTTTATTCTAAAAACATACATGATTGATTTGAAACAGAAGCTTCACCGCTCAGGTTTATATATTAGTACTAATCAATCAACCAATCAGTTAGTCAATTGAATGTTCAACTATTGATTTATTATTCTTTTTCCTACAATTTTTGTTTTCCACCTTATTTCATCAAGAATAAAACATAAAATTCAGGTTTCCTGTTGTTTACTACTTCTTAATCATCTGGAAATAATATGTTTTGTTTAAAAGTATTTATTTTTATATATTTCAACGAATATATAATGATAAACATGCCCATGAACTTTATATTCAGTTATCCTAAGTAAAAATGGGCGTTTTCATTTTGTGATAAAAATAAATAGAATTAAAAAAAGACTTTAAAAGTAAAGCGAACAGATGAACTTATTATTTTCTGGTTAGCGTTTTTTTTAGCGAGTTGGTTTTCTACGGAACGGGGTTGCTGACCCCATGCACAACCCTCCTCCTTTACCCGGGCTTGGGACCGGCAGTAACCCCCGGAGGAGCTCCAGGTGGAGTTTTTAACTCATTATTATTACTAGTTTAAGCTATACGGGAAGAGGTAATCTCACTTCCACGATTACTGTATGCATATAATAGGTTACACTGTTCGCTATATATATAAGGTTAACTGCTGTGTGAAAAATGGGAAAATACATATATTAAAGAGTAGTATAAAACCACCCACTCTATTATACTCTTCTGATTAGCATTTTGTTTTTGTAAATGACTATTTAGTTCAATGAATTCATTGTGATATAGGGAAATGGGAATTATAGATCAAAGATGTAAAAAAAAAATTAATTATGAACAAAAATTTAGGTCAATCTTAATTTATTACTGTCGATCACGTTATTTATTCACTCTCATTATTGTTTTTCATATTTATTTATCAAAAGAGTAAGCTAAATCGATTTTCAAGAGGTTATATCAATGGTTACGGTTGTTATCATGAATAATCTTTTAGAGATAAATTTCTAAAGTATAAACATACTCTTGTAAATCAGTGATATTGGAATAAAGTATAAAAGAAGTAAAAAAAATTATCATGGATTGAAAAATAGACACAACTAAATAGTTGATAAGGCATTTTGTTTGCTCATTTATCTCACCTTGGAGAAATTCACTAATGAATATTACTAAAAATAGTAGTTAAGTGATATTCACATTAATCTATAAGGTGTATTAGCCATATGAGAATGATTAAAACACTATGACTGTATATTATATCATAAAATGGTGTCCTTTTTTCTTACTAGTTTTCTTCATTACAATTTGTTATAAATAACTTTTGATGGTTATTTATAACATTCATTCCGTTTATTTGATTTATGAGCTAGATTACAGTTTCATGAAAGTTGTAAACATAATTTACTTCTTAAAATCAATACTTAAAGGTAAATTTTATGAAATTCCAAATAATTAGTTTTGTCATTCTATTTGTTTATCAGTCAAGTTACGGAAGCGACCTTCAAGTGGTATATTTGTTGAAAGAGGTCATTTTCTATCGATCGGAGTAATAAAAATGATCCTTTTTTAACCATGACCTTGACTCCATTTAGAATTGACATCCTTATATCTATTTACATAGGTAGATCGACTTAATATTGTTCGGTAGTTATTTGGAAGGGCTAGTAAGAACTAAAGTTGTAATTAAAAAAGAGTAATAAAAAATCAGAGTAGAGATTTAACATTTGTGTATATGTAACCTATTATTCACACTGAGTGGTGACTATAGTCTTATTTGTCTAACCTTTTAATGTCGTTCGAATCCTACTAATCAAGTTCGAATGTGGTCACTAGGTTGAGTGACTGGACATTGCTAGGAGTATGTTGAAACTAGTAAGGAACCATTGACGTAGGTTTTATTCTAGTTGACACTAGTCAGAAAGGCGTACCTGTGATCTCGGATGGACTGATGCCCCATTTCAAATCTTAGTCCACGCCAGCGATCTTCACATTCTGAGACGCTACCAATTTCGATCTCTAATGCTTATTTATATACTATTATTACTTTGGTAGCGAATTTGTTTAGTAACTGTGCGCATAGTATATTTCCATGATTAGGTTTTTCAGCTTCAATCATTTCTTGATACTGAAGGATCATCATCCGTTATCAACCATGGGTCACCGTCTCATTCTCAAAATGATCGACACTAAAGGTTGCTAGTTCCTCATGAAAATTTAGAGAAAATATACTCCAAATATAGTTATTATTGGGTATTCGACTATTATTATTTTCAGAAAGGGGTTTTGTGGAGATTTTAGTAATTTTATATAGTTGAAATCATGAGACGATTAGAGCTAGACCACCATGGAAAACCCGGAAGCACTGGACGACCATTTCGTCCTATTGTGGGACTCCTCAGCTGTGCGCATCCACGAACACGCTCTCGGGAGCGAGTTCAAAACCACATCTGTTGTGAGATAGAAACTCACTGAAGACAATTGGTGAATGGTTGCTCAACTTCGTGGATCAGTTGAAGTTAGACATTAACACCGTTGGATGCCAGCTCAGTGGTCTATCGGTGAAGGGCTTCGGCTCGTAACTGGTAGGTCCTGGGTTCGAGTCTCGCTCGCGAGAGCGGGTTCGTGGATGCGCACTGCTGAG